AACTTGCTAAGGTGTCACTATTATTTCTCCCGTTTCATAGATGAGGGCACAGGCGCAGAGGCGGTAAGCAACCTGGTCGAGGCTACACAGCGGTAAGATGCTACAGTGTGTTTAATGTCTACCAACGGCTCTCTGGAGTGTCCGGGGCACGCCAGCTGCTCCATAACCAGGGGTCTCTTCCCCTTTACCAGACAAGACTTTACTTCTCCTGCAGCCGTGCCATGGACGACTGGCCACTTGAACACTTTTGAGAAGAATGATTTGTTTCAAGTTCTAAACAGCTCTCTGGGCGCAGCGACCCTCCTCCTGAAGGCTGATTTTTCATGGACGGAGCCGTCTCCCAGCCAAGGGTTTGGGGAAATGCTCCTGACCCCGCACCCCCACTGCGATCACAGCACAGATAAGGCTACAGACACTGGACCATTAAATGTGGCCACTAGATGGTTCTTCTAACTTCGTAAATATTTTACTGTGTCTTTTGACTTCCCTTAAGAGTTCTTCCCCTATTCCAGCTGGCTAGCCAGAAGGCACTGAAATGCTGCACCCGTCTCCTCTGGGATGCCCTAGATAGACGATAGACAGATCGACTGCCATAGTCTATGTTTCTTTTTCTTTATCTTAATCACATGTGATACGGTCTTAGGCACTGTGAGTATTCAGACAGACAAAACAAAACAGTTGCATCATTTTACAAATGGAGTTTTAAGTTCTGTTTAATAGAAACAATCTAAACAGCTTCATCCCTATTCCTGGACATTTTGGAAACGGCGTGTTTTGGAAATAGGCTCAAGACCATTAAAGACTGTGAACCTCTAATTAAAGAGTTTGATTGTTTTAGGAGACAACGGGCCTGCCAGAATTCATGCTCTCTGGAGAGGAAAATAAAAACATCATGAGTCCCCATCACAGAGAGCATTTCCTGGCTTGATCCCGGCCACTCTGGGGGACCCGATCATTCCCAGATATCTTTCCCTCCGTCTTCTCCAGACAAAGCCTCCTCAGTCTGGCTGTTTCCAGCCACAACACCTTGTCCCGCACTGTCTGCCCTGTCACTGGAGGGATCTTTCTCTGTTACCACTTTGCTTCAACTTTTCAGTACAGTGGGTCATAGCGAACACGAGAGCCAGGGTCTAGAGGTGCTGTGAAAGTCAAACATCATGGCCAAGTTGCCCTCTTGCAACAGCTGGGGAGACACCATGGCAGAGATCAACAAAACATGTGCCAGTTCCATGCTGCCAAGGGGGCTTCTGTGCCCGGACAAGGGGCAGTCACTCCATGGACCTGCCCCAGGGACTGGGGACTGAGATGGGTGGGAAGTCGCCGACTCGAAACTCAAGCTTTTGCTGATGGAAGAGAGGACTAAATGACCCATTCCATGTCAATCTGTCTCTCTCAGTCTTGCCACACCCCTCCCTGTGCTCTCCTGACCCCCTCCTTCACTCCTGACACCTGCAGATCTTATGGGAATCAGCTCTCCACGCATCCATGCCTCTGCCCACACTTCCCCTCTGCCCAGGATGCCCGCGTCCACCTTCTCTGGGAAGCTGCTCCCTGGCCCCAAATGACCCATCTGTCTCCGAGCAGTGGCCAGGTGGTGCCACCATCACCCAGTTGTCCCCTTCCACCCACACTGCACGTCCCAGGAGAGCAGGGCGCACACACCGTTCATATCTGCAGCCTGGAGCCTGGTTCTTCCTTAACTTGAACAATGAAGGGGTGTGCATCCCACCTGGACGATAACCAGAGCAGCCCGTTTCCGATTCTGGCAACCAAGCCTTTGTCAACCAAACCCAGACCTTGGCTCCACCAGGAGTTTACAGACTGTGCCTTCTCTCACTCTGTGCCTGGCTCTCCATGAGGGTCTGGAGAAAGGCAATGTAACTGGAACCACCATTTGGTTTTGTATCTTTCCCTCTCCAATTACCGACTAATGTTTCTCTGATGACTCTTTTGGGGACAGCTATGGGCCCAAGATGCAATGAAGGTTTAATGGGGATCCGAACAAAAGGCTATTTTGAGAGACCAGGGGGGCCTCCCAGGAAATAACTCATCCTAAGGAGAGGCTCAGAGCTTTTGTCCAAGGACACTGCATCTGAGATCCAGAAACTCTCCCCACCCAGCCTCTAGGTCTCATGTCTGAGTTGAGGGTGATGGGTTTATAAAAAAGGCATTTGAAAGAGCCCTGAAAACTACAAGGTATCAGGAAAGAGAGCTGCCCTCTTCTTTTTTAAAAATTTTTAATGTTTATTTTTGAGAGAGAGAGAGAGAGAGAGAGAGACAGAGTGAGTGGGGGAGGGGCAGAGAGTGAGGGAGACAGAACCTGAAGCAGGCTCCTGACGCGGGGCTCGAACCCACAAACTGTGGGATCGTGACCTGAGCTGAAGTCAGACGCTTAACCGCCTGGGCCCCCAGGAGAGCTGCCCTCTTCTTCATGTGGTAGAGCAGATCCCCTTCTGGGTCCCGTGCTTATGCGCTTTGCTGTGTGACTGTGCAGCTGCCTCACTAACGGGACACAGAGTATTTTCCTTTCCCCTGACTTTGGGCCTGACCGTACGACGTGCTCTGACCAACAGAGTTAGGCTGAAGTGAGAGTGGTGACAGTGCGCCCGGTCTGAGCCCAGGCCTCAGGGTTACTGCATGAGTCGCGTGCCCTTTGCAGTGTCACCGTGCCACAGGAAGACTGTGCCTGTGCTTGGCGACTCGTCCAGCGGGACAACGGACGACACATGAAGCAGAGCTAAAGCGGGTCACCAGAGCCTAGAAGAGTTCAACCCTACCCTCTGGTGACCCCTGTACGCACAGCCAAGTCAGCCAAGGTCCCCCTGAATCCGACCCTCCACTGACCTGCAGATCCATGAGATAAGTGATTACTGTTTTAAGCCACTGAGTTTTCAGGTGCTTTGTTATGCAGCACTTTTCTGTGGCTGTAGCTAGCTGATACATGGGGGGGGGCTGGGCCCTGGCCACCATACCACTCATTCTCCAATTATCAATTAATGGGCTCACAGAGCAGAACTCGTTCTGATCAACACCCCAGAGGGGCCAGGGAATGGCCGTGGAGGCAGTTTTAAGCACAAGGTGTCTTATTGACCATGAGCCTTGGGTTTTTATCTTAATACATGAAAAGCACAATCGAACAGAGGTAGATTTGACTGTATCCGTTAATGGCAGCGAGGACATCAGGACGTCCATAACCTAATATTTAACCTCGGAGCAAGTGAACATTTTCCCACCACACAGAGTTTTCTGATCCAAAACAAATTTCCAACACTTATAGCCTGCCTCAAGACAAAACAAATCCATATATTTTTGTTTCATGCTACTTTTTCCTTAAAACATTTTTTGGAAGACCTATTTAAAACTAAGAGTAATGACCTGATAATTTATGAACTTTCTGTAGAACTGGTTTCTCATCCCAGGAAGTTCTTAATGTCAAAAAATTCTAATTTCCATTTCATTTCTCCGAAGTAATCTTCTAAGCTTGGCAAAACACATGCCATTTTCATTTACTACTCGCATTCTAAGAGACAGTAATGTTAATTAATATTTAAGTGGTTTAGAAGAGTATTTGTTTTAGGGGGAGGAGGGTGTTACATCACCTTCTGCCCAAAAAATGCAAACAAAAGAATCTTCGTGTTACTTTCCTTTGATGAATAATAGACTATTTATCAACATAAGTAAACATTCCACTGCCATCACTGGTTCATGAGGGGATATTTCTTACATTCCACTTCCATTTCTTACATTAACTTTCATGGTTACAGATAAGGGACAACGGTGTCTGGGTGGCTCAGTCAGTTAAGTGACTCCTGATTCTGGCTCAGGTCACGATCTCACCATGGTGAGATCAAGACGTCGGGCTGCACCCTAGGTGTGGAATCTGCTTGGGATTCCTTCTCTTTCCCTCCCTCCCTCCCTCCATCTCTCTCTCTCTCAAAACAAAAGCAAAAACAAAAACAAAACCCAGGGACACCTGGGCGGCTCAGTTGGTTAAGCGTCCAACTTCGGCTCAGGTCATGATCTCATGGCTTGTGAGTTCGAGCCCCGTGTCGGGCTCTGTGCGGACAGCTCAGAGCCTGGAGCTGCTTCGGATTCTGTGTCTCCCTCTCTCTGCCCCTCCCTCCCTCACGCTGCCTCTCTCTCTCAAAAATGAATAAACATTAAAAAAAAAAACCTCAAAAAAACAAACAAAAAAACCAAATAAGGGATATAGAATGACATTTTAGAGAATAACTATCACAAGTGATGACTGTTTGTGAGAAATGGTAATAAGCACCTGGAGAGCCTTTCTGGCCCCCAGGCTAAAACAACCTTTCAGAAGAAACTGTCTCAAAGGAAACCATTCTCTGAAATATGGCCAAGTGACTCAGGACCAGCACCTTCGTCCTACAAGAAGTCTAGAAGGAAAGGTTGGCTGAGAGGAGGCAGAAGGCCTCTGTGTGGTGTGCCTTTGCCTGGGGACCCCACACTGTGGAAGAACGCCTGAAGCAAGGCGGACTGTCCACCGGAGTCAGGACAGCCTGCCCCTCTCCTTCCCCTCCCTCCACAGAACTTTCACTCGTTGTCAAAGCAGATGCCCCTGGTAAGTGCGGGATGAAAAATGGAAAGAATCTTTATATAACAGGACGTCGACTTACAGCAAGTGTCCCAATTAAATCCTGGCAATTGCTTACGGTTCAGCCTAACACAACGAGTGGACATAAAATAGCTCCCCGTCTCCCCACAGCACACAAATACGCACGGGAAGCAGAACGATGGGCTACACTGTCAGGTTTGTGGAACTAAGTGTCCACGAAACAAGAAGCAAACGATCCCGTCCGTTTGACAGCTATTGCTCAAGTGGCCGTCTAACACACGTCCCTCTGAGCTGTAGGGTCCGGCTGTGACCCACCACCTCTAGCACCCCTCTGTGCGGGCAAATCTGCACATTCAGGCTTCGGGCCTGGACTCGAGCCCAAGGTGGCTCTCGACACGGGGTGGCCGGAGGGGCACGGAGTTACCTGGAGAGGAACAGCTGACCCCGAAGCCGCAGGTCGGCCGCACAGTCCTCCGAACGGCAGTTCCTTTCAAAGACAGTCTGTGAGGGAGACACAAGAGGAAGGGCGACGTTTAGTGGCAAAGGAGTGCAAACCGCCCACCCTGTCCCCCGGGCGGCGGGAGCCTTCCTGGGGGGCCACAGGCCCTTCCCCCGGGAGGCCCCAGCGGCGGAGGCCTTGGCTGCAGAGCGCCCCCCCGCCCCATTCACTTCTCATCTCCTGAAGCTCTTCTTCAAGTCGCTTCCTCAACACGGGCCCATGGCAGGTGTCCCTTCCATCCCTGAGACGAGCTTCCAACACTCGCACACGCGAGGCACTAAATCCAGCTGCGCAGGGAATTCTTCGATCCCCGTGAGGTCACTTCCTGCTGTCTGCTGCCTGGTGGGAGGGGGCTCTGCCTGAGCCACAGGGTTTTATAATGTTCAGTCCAAACAGGAAAGTCAAAGGCAACGAGGCTATTAGGCCGAGGGCAGCACGCCGGGGCCGAAGGGACCCCCTCCGGTGTCTGGGGGTGGGAGGCAGCCTCTAACCCAGGGCGGGCCTCAACGGTAAAGCCCACCCTGTGCTGGGGCCTAACGCGCGGTGCGTCCACGGGGCGTGCGCGGCGTTCTGGGCCGCGCCTCCCCGCGGAGGCTGGCAGGGGAATCGGGGGCGGCCTGTTGGGAGGGGTCTCGGTTCTCCCCTCTGGGCCACAGCGGGCTTGCCGGGCCCCCCGTCAGGCTGGTGTCTGGCTGTCACACGTGTCCCGGACCGACAGACACTCCTCACCACTGTTAAGCGGCTCTGATCACTTTTGGATTTTGGGGACAAGGGCCTGTTGTCAGTTTTTAGCTGTAAGTCATTTACGATGAAACCTCTCCTCCGTCACTGCTCAAGTCTGTGGGTTTCCCGCCACAGAGCACGGTCCCCGTGACGTGCTCCCTCCCGCGGGGCGTGTCCAGGCGGCTCCGGGGCGCCAGCGTGCACTCCGGTGCACTCGCTGGCCAGCGGACAGTCTAGACCTTCCAGACGGACTGATTTTGCCCTATGGAAATTCATACTCCTGTGTCAAACTTCCAGAAGAGTAAAGTGGCCTGGCCAGCATTCCCTGCCTGCATTACAGCGGGGGAGAGACTCACGGAAGGCTTGGGCGAAAAAAAAGGAAATTCCCATGTTCTTTTGGACACTGCTGGGGGAGGGAGAGAGCCAGGCCTCCGGGAGGCTTCAACCGAAGGCTCTGTTCCGTGGCAGCCCAGGCAAGGAGAGAACAGGAGGGGTGGCTGTGGGCTACACGGGTTCCTCGGGCGACAGAGGCAGGCTCTCCGAGGCCAGGAATGAGGGAAAAGCACCAAACGGGGCTTTACCTTCAAGCTAACGAAACCGCAGCCTGAGGGTGTCTCGCTGTCAAGCCCTGACTGAGGCCTTGGACCCAACTGTCTTTCGTAATTTCCACGTTTTTCTTCAAGAGCACTTTCCTGCTGACGGGCTCCTCCTCCGCACGCATCCTCCCGTGTCTCGGGCGACAGGGACAGTGTGACTTCCCCACCGTTGGGGGTGCGGCGGGAAGGTGAGAAGTGCTGAGAGCAGGACCTACGTCACCCTGTGGCACGGGATCTGGGAAGACCTGGCCCCTGCCCTCCCCACACCACCCCTCTGGCTCCCTCGTGCCCGCCACCCCTCAGACGGGCCTCCACTGCCCCCAGATCCCCCGCCTGGCTCCCCCGCTGCACCCTGCCAGGGGCACCTCCGTACCTCGTCCCTGAGCCTCCCCCCACGAGCTCAGGCTCCCGCTCCAAGCTCTCGAGGCTCTGGGCTCTCTCTCTCCTGCTGCTGCCCATCCCTCACTGCATCATTACGTGTTTCCTGTTTGTCTCCCCTGCTAGAATTATGCTCCGGGAAGACGGGGGCTGCATGGGTCTTGTTCACCTCCGTGCCTGTCCCCAGGGCCTGGTGAGTTGCAGTTGCTTAGTCAACACTGGAGGACCACATGGTACTCTGAGGGGGTGACCCCTGAAATGGGGAGCCAAAAGGTGGACGCCCCAATCTGGGCCAGTGCTAATACACTTCTGCTCTCTATTTCCTGTCACTGGCTGAGGTCTTCCAGTGCTGCAAATTTCCATCCAGTAAAGACAAGCACTGAGTCTTCCATAGATAGATAGACAGACAGACAGACGGACAGATAGATAGACAGATATACACACACAGGCATACGGATACACACATGTACGGATACACACATTCACACGTTATGCAAGCGCTTACACTCACCAGCTAAAATTACACACGACCTGTCCTGAGAAGATAAAGTTCCAGCTTAGACATTAGCCCAGGACTCCATTTCCACAGTCGTAAAAGGAAAATAAGCCAAGGCTGTAGGCAAAGGCTCCCAGGCCGGGGATGCACTTGTCTGCAGGTTGAGCAGTGAAGACAGAGGCAAACAAGAGACCTGCCCGGCGCCCCAGGGAGGCTGAAGTTGAATCTCCGAGTTCCTGGGCTTCGGACCTGATTTGTCTCTCTGGGCAAACGGCCATTTTGTTTCCCGAGGAACTGAAAAGCATCTCCCTGGGACAGAACCGGGGCAGACTGAAGCCTCAGAGTGCCAACTGAGCACACTGAGTTTCCAGAAGCAAGTAAAAACCACTTCTACTTCACGAAGCACAAAGGATTCAGGTTCCCTGTGAAGCCGACAGGCCAAATTCTCTCCCAAACGCCAACCAGGGCCTCTGAGGAATTCCTCTGCCCACTTTAGCCCCCGTCTCCGCAGTCTTCTGGGCAGACACAAGCTTGGCTGTCTGAACAGGACAAACCCCTCGCCAGCTGGACGCATTCTCTCCCACCTCCCTCCAGCCTCCACCTACTGGTTGGCAAATCTCGGTCAGTTTCTTTGCCCGGAAGAAGGCTTTCTGGAAAATGCAAACAGATCTGAGAAGCCGTCCTCTCTCATTTCTCTCTGGTTAAAGGAGGCAAACCCCTTCTCTCAGGAGAAAACTGTTTCCTGCCTCAGACTTTGGTGACTTGCAGACTAGACACCCAGCGGCCTTTTCAGCCTCATGGACTGGACTTCCTCGTTGGCTCCTTCCTCACCCTGGTCTCTCTGGAGAATAGTTTTCTTTTTCGAATCCTTTATCCAGCTTCTCCCCAAATCTTTACTCTGCTTCGTTTAGAACAGGACTGGCAGACGTTTTTTGTAAAGGCCATCTAGTGAATACTCTTGGCCTGTGGGCCATCTGCTCTCTGTTGCACCTAGTGGCGTGAAAGCAGCCGTATGCAATATGTAAAGAAACAGGTGTGGCTGTGTCTCAATAAAACTTTATTTATAAAAGCAGGCAGCAGCCCAGATTTGGCCTGCAGACTCCAGCTTGTGGACTCCTGTTCTAGAATGTTTATTTGGCTATTGGTTTCCTCATTCCCTTTGGGCCAAAAAAAAAAAAAAAAAAAAAGGCAGTAAGCTCAGCTCAAGTTATACTTGTCTCTGAGCGAGAGCACAGAGGCCGGAGCTGGGAGTGCTTTCTTCCAAGGCAGCCCTGGAGACGTGTGAGTCGGGGCTGGCAGCTCAGGGCCGGTCGTGGCCAAGGGGGACTGCAGGGAGGACATTTGTCTAGATGCTCAAGCCCTGGGGTGCCCGTTTCTCCCACTCAGACCCGCCCTGGGAAACATCTTCCCTTCTGATCTAATAGGAAGTGGGATTCTTCACTTACTCCAGATGTCTGTTCACAGGAGAGTCAATTTCTTGGACTTGGTGATATTTGCTTATATATCATCACTGACACAGATACATGCTGTTTACAGGTTGCCTTCGCAACCACACCCGTGCTGAGGCCTGAGAAAATAGGGACAACTGGACTGGGTGGGAATACATGCTTTTCAAATCGCACCCCAAGGGGACCAAACAAGAAGGCTATTTTTTACGCTCATGAGTGAGGCGTTTCCTGGTGGGCAATGTGACTTAGCAAAGGGTCTCTGCCTGGATGACAGGAGGGACATTTCGGAACTGCTCCTCCCCCCACAGTTTTATGGAGGCTCCCAGAGGCCCTGGCCATACGCAAATCATGTCTGTGGCCCCCATCACCTGGTACCCTGTTAAAACCCTGTTTGTGTAAATGCCACGACTGGAGTGTAAAAGGCTTCTCCTCCCAATTCTGTGTCAGTAGGCTCTTTTTCCAGAATCCAACACTATCTTCAATGTGACACATTGTAAGAGCTCCGGGTCATGCCAGAGACTTCTCTGTTCAGTCCTGTGCCCAAACGAAGAACAGAAATGTCTCACTGCCTGGTATTTAAAATCAGGTCATACAGACAGAGTTGCTTTCTGAAAAAAAATTTCATGTCCAAAGGAACAAGTGAAAGACAAATACTTCAAATATTAAAGCGGAGGAATTCCTTCTAGCTTAGGGTCTGTACAAACTGTCCTTGTAGATTAAAAAAATTTTTTTAAGTGTTTTATTTATTTCTGAGAAAGAGAGAGAGACAGCATGAGCGGAGGGGCAGAGAGAAAGGGAGGTACAGAATCTGAAGCAGGCTCCAGGGTCTGGGCTAGCTGTCAGCACAGAGCCCGAAGCGGGGTTCAAACCCACAAACCGTGAGATCATGACCCGAGCCAAAATCAAGAGTTGGACACTCAACCGACTGAACCTCTGACTTTTAATATCAGCCATAAACCTGCTTCTAGGGACCTTCTGACTCCCAGGACCATAAATGCTCTCCCTTGATTTTCACCCAGGAATCTTTTGTGTTCTAGGCTTCATTTATTATTTTCTAAAACAGTTCCCACTAATTAGTCACCAGTGGCAGAAAACAGAGCCAGCAATAAAGGTGCTCGTGCTGTCAGAGGGAAGGAAGGGTTCACCAGTTCTGTATTTCTAGAAGCTGCAGAGCCAGGTGGGAATGAGAAGATGCCTTCAAACTAGACAGGCTGCCAGCAAGACCTCTCCCCGCACACTCACAGGAGCCTCACCTCGGCGGGGCCCCGGGGATAACTCCAGGCTGCAAGTGCCCGGCCTCGGACTCTCTCGAACACCTTCGAAGAGAGCAAGGGACGGGCTGATGTTCCCTCCCCAGCCAG